TTTTTACTTCCAAACGTTCCAAATATTTTTCTTCTTCTTCTTCTTCTTTTTCTTTTTTTTTCTTCCAAATCCTAAAATCTCAATAAAAATCAATCGTCCAATAAATAGTTTGTAAGGAATAAACGATAGAATGGTTCTTCGTTGATATTCGATTGTCGTGCGAATTTTTCATTTTAAAAAAATTGATATATCGCTTGGAGGATATAGCTGAGAGTATTAGAAATGAATAAGGACAAAATAGAATTTATTCAATTAATCAATTTCACCTTCGTCAAAATAGCCCAAACATTTTTTTTGACGAGCTATTACTTCTCTTTTTTCTAGCAGGTGCAACAACCTCCGATGATTCCTTGTTAATTGTAGCAATTGAATTGGTATTAGAGGTTGGCGTTAGTTTACTACGTACTTGTTCATCCAACAAAACCTGTACATCTATTTGCCATTGTTCAAGCTGTTGACTAAGTTCAACCTTTTGTTGTATTGCCTCCATCAATTGGCTGTTAGCTTGTAAAACGTCTATCCTTGTTCTTGCCAATTCAACCTCAGCTCTGTTCTTCCTTGCTACGGCTTGATCTCTAACTTGATATGCTTGTGCCAATATTTCGTCCTTCGTTAATTGCGTATGTTCCATGTCATTTCTAGCTCTGTCACGTTCCTCTTTAACTCCTCTCAATTCGGCCTCGCATACACTGAGCTTACTCGTTGTATCCAACAATGTCTCACCACGGCGTTTCAATTCGTCTTGTGTTTGTTTCAATTGTTCCTTCGTCTGATCCAATTCCTCCCTTACGCGATGTAATTCAACAGCCAATCCTAATTCACCTGGGGCACCACGACCCGATAATGCCAAATTATAAACTTCTTCGACCAATTCCATCAATGCTCCTGGATAATTGACCTAAATAAGGAATAAAAAAAAGAAAAAAAAACAAACAAACAAACAAACAAACAAAAATAATTAGATAATTGTTTACACTCCACAGCTAATGAATGATCTTACTTGCCCGAATAAAAAAAAAGAAAAAAAAAAAAAAAAAACAAAGGTTATTAATCTCTTTTGCAAAATTTAAATTTATTATTTTATTCGTAAAGGAAGAAAAAAAAAAAAAAAAGAAAATTGTAAGCAAAAAATGTTGAAGCTGACAAGACGATTTCTTAAGTATTTCGTGATATTCCTCTCAAACGTTAGGGTCGAAACAGGAAACTAAAGAACAAAGGATATCTGAGCTCCCTATACCCAACAATACACACACACATACACACATATACACATATATATAGAAAGAGAGACAGAGACGTTGAAAAGGTATTCTCTATCTCACTTTAACTTACTTCAGCTTCTGTATTGTTAGCAATGACAAGCATGGACTCGTCGCAGTCGCTTTGTAAACCTGAATCATCCTCTCCCCTACGCAAATGAACGCAAAGTTCCTTCAACCGTTTAATCGCTCTGGTAACTTCCGATCTTAGATCTTCCTGTTCACCCAATGAACTTCCGCTCTCTTCGCACTCCATCTCAACTTGAAGTGACCTTGGTGGTTTTTGAATAGATCCGGATCTACCTCTTCTCTCGACTTCGATCGCCGCTAAGGCCGCTGCCAACTCGTCCCTATAAAATCATAATCCTTAATTACATTTGTAATTAGAAATTAGGGAATTTTTTTTTTCTTTTTTTTTTCGGACTTTCGTTAGCCTGTTAAATTTCGTGATCTTATGATTTAAACATTTTGTTTTGTTTCTCTCTCTCTCTCTCTCTCTCTCTCTCTCTCTCTGTTCTTTTCTCTTACATTTTGAAATCAAACGAATGACATTATATTCCAAAAAAAAAAAAAAAAAAACTGATATTAACCCCTTGACATACAAATAAAATGCGCATCGACGCGTCCTTTTTTGGATTACCATTTTTTTTTTCTTTTTTTTTTTTTTTTTTTTTTTTTTACGAATATCAATTGTCTCGGAACAAGGTATTATCCTTTCCCTAAAATGGGTTTGGCTAGTTGAATGACAATACTCTCCGATACAGATTCATTACTTCCTTGAATTACATCTTGTCCTGTGTATATTTTAAATCAATAGTAATTACCCAGAATTGAATTCGCATAATTTATAAAATTTGATTCCAAATCTCGCTCGTTTGAATGCTATCTATTGGACGTAATTTAATCGCCAAAGACAATTCTTGACGTCTCGGACACGTCAAAGTCTACAATGGCACATGAAATGAATGACGTCTTGGACACGTCAAAGTCTACAATGGCACATGAAATAAATGACGTCTTGGACACGTCAAAGTCTACAATGGCACATGAAATGAATGACGTCTTGGACACGTCAAAGTCTACAATGGCACATGAAATAAATGACGTCTTGGACACGTCAAAGTCTACAATGGCACATGAAATGAATGACGTCTTGGACACGTCAAAGTCTACAATGGCACATGAAATAAATGACGTCTTGGACACGTCAAAGTCTACAATGGCACATGAAATGAATGACGTCTTGGACACGTCAAAGTCTACAATGGCACATGAAATGAATGACGTCTTGGACACGTCAAAGACTACAATGGCACATGAAATGAATGACGTCTTGGACACGTCAAAGTCTACAATGGCACATGAAATAAATGACGTCTTGGACACGTCAAAGTCTACAATGGCACATGAAATGAATGACGTCTTGGACACGTCAAAGTCTACAATGGCACATGAAATGAATGACGTCTTGGACACGTCAAAGTCTACAATGGCACATGAAATGAATGACGTCTTGGACACGTCAAAGACTACAATGGCACATGAAATGAATGACGTCTCAGAGACGTCATTGTATATCAAGTGATTAATCATGGGATTCTTAAATATAATCCTAAATCGAACTTACCTCTCTTGTTCCGCCAGTCTAGCTCGATGTTCAGTCTCATGTCCAAGCCGTTCCAAGGCCGCGGCTCTCTCCTCAGCTTCCTCGAGAGCCGCGACCGCCCTGGCTCTCTCCTCGCGTAATTCCAAGGATCTCCTCTCTAATTCCGTCCTCTGAGCGGATACCAATTGTACCTGATAAACGTGTTTAATAATTTCATCATTTTCTCTTTTTTTTTTTTTCCTTTTTTTTTTTTTTCTTTTTTTTCTTTTTCTTTTTAAATCCTTCTTTTTAATATTTCAATTGTACTTTGTCAACTTTGTGAACATTGTAAAAATAAAACAACGCTAATGCAATAAAACGTCTCTATTCTTTTTCAGTACAAACGATGATATTAAAAAAAAAAAAAAACCATTGGTTTAAATTAATCTAATCAAATTGATAATCATTACGTTTAGAAAATAACAAGGACAATTGTTAGGTTAGTCAAATTGTAATCTTCACGACCAATTTAGATTTATTTCTTTTCTTATTAAATGCGAAATTGTAATGCATATATATATATATATATATATATATATATATATATATATATATATATTATTTTTTTCGTGTTTTTTGTTTTTTCTTTCTTTCTTCAAAAACTGACGCAATTTATAAATTCAGAGATGTTTTTTTAAGATCACAGGATATTCAATGGATATCGTAAATAATTGTTAATTAGAATTCGTTCGAATCGATACTTTTATTATCTAGGGAGTTTTTTTCTTTTTTATTTTTTTTTTTTTTTTTTTTTTTATTTATTTATCAAATCGCAATCCATATCGTTTATCAAGATCAATCTAATGCGAACGATTGGTTAATACAAAATTTTAATTTATCGATAAAATATTCTCGATCAATATCACTTTAAAAGAAATCTTCCTATCGTTTACGTAATTCCACTGAGAAAAGGAGGAATGATAATAATAATAACAATAATAACAATAAAAAAAAAAAAAAAAAAAAAAAAAAAAAGAGAAAAATCTCCGATAACTCACAATGTCATTCACGTAATCAATGACAGACGTTTGAAGAATTCTGAAATTTCAGAACACTCGTTGTCCTCCGATCGAAGCGCAACAGATGAAAGAAAGAATAACAACAACAACAACAATAACAACAACAGAAACAACAGTAACAACAACAATAATTCAATCAGATAGAACGTATATCGCGCGTGAAGGATTGTAAAAGAAAACCGAGTACGAAAAAAAGAAAAAAAAAAGAAAAAAAAAGAAAAGAAAGAAAGATAAGTTCAAGGTCACGTTACCTCATCCCGCAAAATCTCCAAACTGCTGACATGATCCTGTAATGTATTACTCCTGTGAGCGCACTTTTCACGTAACAATTTAACCTCAAGGAACAATTGTTCCTCCTGTTTTGCGGCTTCCCTAAGTTGATCGGCCAATCTTGCGTTTTGTGCCGTCAATTCCGTAACCAATGTTGCCTGATCACGTTCGGCCCTTCTTGAACGTTCATTTTGTTCCTCCAACTGAGTTCTCAATGTTTCTAAATCCGTTTGAAGCTCGATAACTCTAGCTTCACTTTCGCCTTTAGTTTCCTCCAATCTCCTACGTAACAAATGCCTCTCCTGTTCCAGACTCTAAACATAAATACATATACATATACATATACATATACATATACATATACATATACATATACATATACATATACATATATATACATATATATATATATATAGATGACGTGTGTGTTTTGTATGCATTTGTGTGCAAATCTTTTTCTTTTTCTTTCCCTTTTATCTCCGTTCGTTAACTGGATAAAAGTGGACCCCAACAAAAAAAGAGAAAAAGGAGAGAAGAAAAAAGAAACCAAAAAAAAAAAAAGAAAAAAAAAAAAAGAAATATTGAAGTAATATCTAAGATATAAAACCTGCGGAATTGACATTATTAACTATTGAACGTCACGTGCTATTAGATAGAACGTTAGAGAATTAATACTCCGGTAATACTGTATAATACCATCTAATACTGGCGTTATATGTATGTATAGAACTATATTTAGTATCAGACTTACGTAAGATCGTATTAGTATTAGATACTCGTAAAGCTTCCAACGTGAAAGCACAAGGAAACTTTTTCATGAAACTTAAAATGAAATTCGAATTGATTTTTATTTTATTTGTTTCTCTTTTTTTTTTTTTTTTTTCTTGCTTCGTTCTTTAAGGCAATTAATTTTTAAAGTTATTTGGTACAAATTTGAGATAAGCTTAGAAAGTTTCAAAAGTGCGATATTAAAGATCATTTATTTTTGCTCTTTCTATATATCGCAAATTTGATTCGTAGTTTTAAAATTGGGTAAAAAATTTGGTTTAGAAACGAACAAAAAAAAAAAAAAGAAAAAAAAAAAAGGGCAACTTTTGACCCATTCGTGCACTTATTTTCTGGGCTCTACGAACTTTGTCGTTGTATTTTATTGGATTTTAATTCGTTTTCATATATTTTTGTTTTGCTTTTTTTGTTTTTTCTTTTTTTTTTTTTTTGTTTTTTGTAGACAAAAAGTCAAAAAAGTCAATGCAAGCATGTACACGTTGTGTGCGATTTAACAGACGGGCATATGTATTTTTCTTCCTTTTTGTTTTTTTTTTTTTTTTTTAATTTTCTTCAAGCTTCGTTGATTTTCTGGTAGAAACGCGTATGCGTGTGCGCTTACTTCTGTTAAAAACTTAATCTTTATATTTATCATATGTGTACCAGACAAACCAGTTTCCTTTGCCTTTCCATTCGAGATTTTTTTTGCTTTTGTTTCGATGGATTCTTTCTTTTTTTTCTTTTTATTTTGTTTTCTTCTGCCCCTTAAAATTACCTTTCTCGAAAAGGCGTTCGTCTTTTACGACAGATTTCAGATTATCAGAAGAAAATTATTGTGCTTTTCTTTACGTCGTAATAAAAAGACGTTTAATTGTTATTGTATGGAAAGTAAATAAACGAAATAAAAAAAAAAAAAAAATAAATAAAAAAGAGGGGAACAAAAATATTGACGGGAAATTGGATATTAATAAAAAAAACAAAAAAAAAAAAAAAGAAAAAAAAAATAGGGAAATATTGAAAATTTACATTGCAATTTATTTTGCGATATTAAAAAACTTGCGAAACTAATTGGATCGTTATAATTTATAGAATTAATAAGGGAGAAAAGTTCCTAGATGGACCAAAAGTTCCTAGATGGGTCAAAAGTTCCTAGATGGGCCAAAAGTTCCTAGATCATTTAAAAACAAACGAGACAATGAAATAATTGGACATTTTCGAAATTACGATGTAAAAAAGAAAATAATCCAGACTAAAGGATAAAACTGAAGGATCTTTTGCGAGGAGAAAAGAAAAGAAAGAAAAAAAAAAACAAAAAAAAACAAAAAAAGAAAAAAAGTGTCCTAACCCCCACCCCAAAACCCACCCTCTATCCGTCATCCTGCACGAAAAAAGGAAAAAAAAAATGACAAAAAGAAAAGAACAAAAAACTTCCTAAACGATGAAACACTCCTAATAATAATATTTCCTCCTCTCTACCCCCCTCCCTATCCCCGCTCACGCCACGCAAAAAAAAAGAAATTATGACCAACGATATTTCCTTTTTCTTTTCCTTTTTCTTTTTCTTTTCTTTTTTTCTTTCTTTCCTACGTTCTTTTCGTCGATAAAGATAATCCAAACGTAATGGAGATTCTTCGAAAAAAAAGAAAAAAGAAAAAAAAAAAAAAGAAAAAAAAACCTGATATATTCGTGTTTATGTGAAAAATTTAAGTGAAAGTAAGATGGAGTTGTGGTAACAAAACGCGATTAGTATTATATCCCGAGGTCAATTCCTACGTATAATAATCGTTCTTGATCGGCCGAAAAGAACAAAGAGAAAGAAAGGGACTTGGAACGAAATCGTTCGAAAGGAGCCAAGGTATTCTCCGTTCGAACAGTTACGCAAAGAGGATGAGAAGAGTGAGAAGGAAAGTGGGGTGGGGGAGTAGGTAGGGGAGTGGGGAGGGGAGATAGATAGCTGGAGTGGGGTAAGTGGTAAAGAGAGGTGGGAGGTAAAGAAATAATGGAGGGAGCGAAGGAGGAAGAGATGGAGGGATAGATGAGGGTGAGGGTGAGGGTAAAGGTGGGGGGAATAGGGGGGAGTTGAACGAGGTGGGGAGGGGTCAACTCTTCTCCTCTTTCGTGTTTGCCTCTCACGGTAAGGTGGTATAAGGAAAACTGGTTTTCTGAGGACCCAAAGATATCTCAACAAGAGCTCTTTAGTGAATTTTGAATTTTGCCCCGTTTTCTTCTGGTTCTTTTTTTCTTTCTCCCTACCCCCCCCCACTTTGTTTACTAGGATCGCCATTACTCTTTTTTTTTTTTTAGGACTATTATTGTTTTCCAAGATACGATTAGGTTTTGATTTATTTCATTGAAACATTAAAATTGATCGGATCCAATGAACATAACAATTGATCCATTATATACCACATTTCAAAGACAGTGTCACTGTTATGGAAATGTATCATATGCATGTAGTATATAAGTATATATATATATATATATATATATATATATCTCGCTCCCCCTACTTTCTCTCTTTCCCTCTCTCTCTTTCAGGCTCTTTCTTTATGTGTGTATAAGCATGACACACGTCCATGAAATATTCAGATACATTCTTTTACGATGTAACCAAGCAAACCTGTATTACGTTTGTTGGAGGTCATAACGTCGCCGCCACCACCACTGGCGTACCAGTCGATCAATGAGAGAACTGATATCCGAAAGGTAATGATAACGATAAGATAACGTAATTCGCAATTGAAAGAAATGGAAGGGAAAAAGAAAAAAGAAAAAAAAAAAAAAAAAAAAAAAAAAAAGAAAAGAAGGAAAATATTATTCGTTCAACCTCAACTCGCGCGAGAATTTTTTCTAAATGATATTTCGAGATAAGATAATTCTATTTAATTGCATTTGCTTAAGGATTTGCGCTTTGCTTTTACGTAGGATGATTGATTTGATTGTTATAATCGATAGACATTTATTTTCAAAATCGACGATCGAAAAGATTCAAGCATTTTTTTTTTCTATTTTTTTTTTTTTTTAAATATAAACAATTTTTATCTTTTTTTTTTTTTTTTTTTTTTTTTTTTTTTAACAAATTTTTATTCAGAAACGTTTGATCGGGGGAAAAGAAAAACGAAAAAAAAAGGGACGAAGCGCCGCGTAAAAATAATATACACGCTTAGAACAAAAGTTTCATCTCAAATGATCACAAAAGTAGAGGAGAGAAAATTTGTTTTTTTTTTCTTTCTCTTTTTTCTTTTTTCTACATTTTTTTTTTTTCTTTTTAGTCGGCTATCATCAGTTGATCTATTTCGAGCCTAACCATCGATGATTCCCCCCTCCCCCTCAACGAAAGATATTTTTGTCCATTAGCCTGGACTCGTGCAAACGTAATAAATAAAGTTTCTGATACACGTTGTACCGAAAAGTTTCTCAAGGCTAGTATTTCTAAAGAAAAAAAAAAAAAAGAAAAAAAAAAGAAAAAAAAAGAAAAAGAAAGAACAGGACACACGAATTAACTCTCAAAGGATTTATGGTCAACCTCGTATTTGAAGAGTAGCGGTATTAATAATTCTTTCCAAAAGTTATTTTTATCGATCAGCCTAACTCGAATTTGATATTCCAGAAATGTAGTCAAGGAGAAGGAAAAGAGAGAGAAGAAGAGAGAGACAGAGAGACAGACAGAGAGAGACAGAGAGACAGACAGAGAGAGAAAGAGAGACAGACAGAGAGAGAGAGAGAGGGGGGGGAGGGGCAAGAAATACAAAAACGAAAGAGTTGCCTGGTAGCAAATGTTGATGGTACTTGGTAGTCGCTGTTTAAAGTCGATGGAGTTTATCGAGCTAGAAGGTATGGCCTTGGTCTCCCGTGGTTACTCATCGACCGATCGTTCACTATAACCGTAAGGTAGAGAGCCCAGTAAACCCACAGAACACAGTTCGCCGATCCCCTAAAGTCCGTGAAAGGACAACGATCTCTCTCTCTCTCTCTCTCTCTCTCTCTCTCTCTCTCTATCAATCTCTCTCAATCTCTCACTCACTTTCTCTCTCTCAATCTCTCTCAATCTCTCACTCACTTTCTTTCTCTCTCTCTCTCTCTCTCTCTCTCTCTCTCTCTCTCTTTCTCTCTCTCTCTCTTTCTCTCTGCTCTGAGAGAATAAATTAAAATTTTATCATAGACTCAATAATACTCTTCGTACAGGACCACCGAAGAGTCCTGGACGGGTCCTGTATACGTCCTGGACTGGGTCCTGTATGCGTCCTGGACAATATTATATAATTATTATAATTTTAATAATTTTATAATTTCAAATAATTTTATAAGTTTATTAATTTTAAGTAATTATTATAATTTTAATTAATAAATCAAGCCTTGATTTATTCATGAGAATTCTCCCTTCCGTGCAACTCGACGAAGTCTCTTTTCTTTCTCTCCTATTTTTTTCTTTTTCTCTTTTTTTTTTTTTCTTCTTCTTCTTCTTTTTTTCTTTTTCAATCAATTTTTGTCAACAAGGTGACAACGAAATTCACACGGTGAAATAAATTTTATATATATATATATAAAA